GTGCGTGCGCGTGTGCGTGCGCGTGTGCGTGCGCGTGCGCGAGTGATGATGCTCATTACTATTCGATTAGTTGTAAGAAATGTCTATAATAGAGTTGTCGTTTGACATGTGAGTCATAATGTTTGTAATGTAATTCTGCAGACACCACGCAGCGACGTACTAGTTCGCCTTCGTTATATAGTTGTATCTTTATGTATATAAACGATCGTAATAAGATTATCAATATATTTGTTTAGTATGTATACATCTATTTACCGTATATCGGAACGAAATGCTTCATTGATATTGCAACACACTGCATGCATTGACTAGCAATGATGAATATCTTTCCTAAATGGTGTGTTATTCAGTTAAAAATACTACATGTCATTATGATTCCACTGCATAAATAATGGCTATTTTCTAATACTTATACAAAAAAATATATACCGCTCTCATTTGTCATTGCAAACATCGTCTTACGGCATTGGTGTTTAACAAACGATATGTATCAGATAACTTAATCGTTTAATTAAATTTTATTTTATAGTGAAATGTTGTACATATAGGGGGCTAATCACCATCACTATTAATATTGTAACATAATAAAATGTTAATACGAAATTATGCATCGGGTATACTGTCAGAAACAAAACACACACTACTGATGCTTATTTGCGCCAACTCTGCTGTGGACATCGATGGGAAATGGTGCCTTTAACATTTGCACTGACTGGACGCTATCATTTTATCAGTGGTGAATAAAGTCACAATTGTTGCTATTCACTCCTGATTATACCGATAAATCGATGATGCTGATGTCAGGTTGGCATTTCCTCTGCTGCTGCTGATGCGTGACGTTGTGGTAATATCGTAGACAGTGAACGCGCATATCATTAAGCACATATGATTACACGTATATAATCATTCTCCAGTCATTTGCTCGCTTTGCATATAAAATGACGAATTCCTACGCAATACTTTTCATTGCCAGTTCATATAGCAGCCTACAGTATAGTTTTAGAGCACAAACTGTTGTACGTTATTGCTGCCTCAGCGCCAAACTGAACAGATTACATATAATGGCATCAATATTATAAGAGAGGAGAGGCAGATTTTCTGACGCAGTAATCTTCGCCGCGGTGAGCATCAAGCCCATGCCACCGATCTCAGTGTATAACCCGTGTGTCGGACACCAACATAGGCTTATCCATATTTGTTAAATCCAGCTATATTTGTAGATATAATGACGATAAATTGGCCTTAATACGGGCGATAATTTTAGCAATGGGGTGATGTCAGAAAGGTAGAAGAGCCGAATTCCCGCGAATGTAGCCATCTCGTAAATCGTCGTTACATTATATTTTATCCAAATAATTAAAAAAAAGTAAATGCTATATCGGTCGTATCCCATGTTGATAAGAGGTTTAATGAGGCGTTGTTAACAGAAATATCTTGCTAATTGTAACACTGTTAGTCAAAATTACATTGTATTAGAAGCCATTCCGCAAGAAATACGTTTAGGTTTTATCGTCTTCTTTACCTGTTTTACGTAAAAATAAACGACTCCGCCAATGGTTTTACTTTCCATCTTTGGGTCGTGTTCTTTTTATACTTTGCCACAAACATTAAAGTTAAAAAGGCATCACGATTTCTATGAAAATATCTCATATCTTATTTCATAAACGCCATCCATGTAAAGTAGACACTTGCGTATATATCCCTTGCGGAGTATATGATGTTTAACAGGCGCGATTCGTGTTTGACATGCACATGTAATAACGACAGATCTTCCGAGGTGACCTATATATGTCACGTCGTCTTGCTGACAACGTGCGTGTGCATTGCCGGAGACAGTTAAACGACACTTGTAATGATGAAAAGATTCGTACATATGTGTGTACTCTCGTGTGTGGCTCGTGACTGTATAGTGTATACCATGTGATGTTGTTCCCAGGTTCTGCTATGGTGCGGGTAATTATGTAACCTGAGGTAATCACAAAGTAGACAGACACGGAAGTATAGCGTACAAACAAATGTCTATTTAATTGTTACACAAAACTTACAGAGACAAGTTATTAGTTACATATAGAATGCAAGATCTCTAAAAGGAGTTTACACACGCACATACAAGTACCAGTCTTAAAAGGAGTTTTAATACATGCGTTTTAAGACGCATACTGTAACACGAATACGGTAAGACCTAAACTATGAAACATATATACATACGAAAACGGTCAAGCGCTGACCAAGCGCTTGACACTAACATACTCACAAATCGACTGGGTGGTTCTCTCTTTCTGTTCAAAAGTGGCTGTATTTATGCGAGTTTGGATTTGTCACGTGACTTTAGTAGTGCCACGGATTTTTAGTGTAGGTTAATGATGTCTAGACCAGTGGTCATCTTGACCACTGTCGCCATTTCTCAACAATAGGGGCTCTTTGTTCTATGCAGTTCTACGTCCCTCGCTAATGATCATAATGACTAATGACTAATGACTAATGACTAATGACTAATGATCATCGTTAATCTGTTCTTTACGACTCCAGCTCGGCGACACGGTGCCATAGTTAGAAAGGGTTTGCTTATCTGCGTAATCTGAGCCTTGAAGTAGACGTGGCCAAAGGCCCGTGACTGTCCTGCGGCATTGTAATCGTAATGTAAATATCGTAATGACTTCGCTTCATTACATTACTCCCCTACTCATGAAAAAGTTAAGAGCTATATTTTATAGCGAAGAACTTTAAGGTTATATTGTACGTTTGTTATTCATGTTATGCCTTTTTTTTGAAAAAATAGTGTGTTAATCCCCTCTTCCAAAAACCTAACTAGCTTAATTATTCCTTAATTAATCCGTCGTTTTTAATTGTCCGTGGGAGTATTATTACTCCTGTGCCACCTGCGTGACGTCAGTGCCCGTTCTGTCCGAATCATCTGCTGCTGTGTCATGCGCGGCGGCGGCAGCGCCCCCTATGCGCTGCGAAGCTAGTCGGCGTGCTCTAGCTCGATGTGGGCTACGTCCGCACCACCGCTGACGATGACGACAACCAGGGCACTGCTGGTAAATGCCTCCGCGCTGTGCGGCGCGGCGGACAACGACAGTCGATCAGTGTGGACGATGTACGAGCAACTCAATGTAGCATTCAGGGCAGAGAGCGTCGGTACTTCACTCCAACTCCCGAGCTCTCTCAGACGAAGTCGTTTTGAGGAAGGCCATAATTATGTATAGCGATCCTCAATTACTTCATTCGAATGGTGGTGATAAATATGTCTCGTTGATAATGTTAATCGCCGGTATTGGACTTTTTATCTAAAAGCTATTGCGCAATTCTCTCGGGGAACGTCATGTTTAGTGCTTTATCTAGACGAGAAATAATAAACTCCGTGATTTATTTATGAAAATTAATTTCCACTGGCACAGAAAGTACTAATTTTAAACTGCTAATAATACAGAATGGGAACCATGGTACTTTATCGGTGAGAATTACCCTTTACTGTGTATATAAGCCGGCTTTGATAAAAATTAATGTGGAAACCACCAAGAGATGACGCTCATATGCTGTAGGTCTAAATGAGAATGATTTAAAACAATAAATCCCTAACCCCAACCCTAATTCTAAAATGAAAAAAATTTAGCCAAAAATAATACAAATAAATAAGAGACAAAATTAGCCAATCAGAGCTGTCCCCTAGCGGATCGCTATCTCTCCCTTGTGCAAAATTTTACGTGTGCGTGTGCGTCGTGTGCGTGTAAAATTGATCGTAAAATACATTATCTATATTGATTTTGTTTGAGCAGATCAAGATTATGTGATCCTGATCAGATGAATTCGTCCCGAACAAACAGGTCAAACAAACGAACAAACAGACAAATTTTAGACAGTTTCATTTCAGGGGGATTGTACGAAGTATATATACGCACGTTTTGTAGTACTTCGGAAGCAGGACGCAAATATCTCAAGAATTGAGTTGGTTATATTACGTACATATTACACAGGTGACTGGTTCCAGCTAATCTTCATTCATAAAAAAACAATCGTTATCGCGACACACACGCACATATTTTACGCGTAAATCGTATATTAAGTTTGCACTTTAATTGCCGTATCCCGTATGTTATGATCGATTCGAAGAGTTTTTCTCCTTGGACATGCAGTATTCAAAATGAAAGCTGAAATTTAGAGGCTATTCAGGATTCGTGCTCATCTTAGATCGCACTCAAAGTTTTAAATGTGGAATGGGAGGGAGGGAGTGCGTTAAGCTGGGTTTACGCTATAGAAAAATCGTCGAGATGAGAGGTTTTTACTGCGTTCTACCAACCTCTCTATCACATGTTCAAGGCTTTTACGTTATGACCGCGAGACGGCAAACGTTTTAAGATTTGACCCAGAGTGTGTGCGCAACGCACTTTTTCATGTATTGCTGTTCTCTGAGTGGAGTTTCGCAAATCCTCGCTGAAAAGCCGCACTTAGTACTACTAGTAGTAGTACGCTTGTATCGGATGTGATACAGCACCCACTTCCACTTTCCTCCCTTTAATTTAACAAATCCTGTCCATTTCTTCATCAAGTCAGTGTCATTAGGCCACTAAAAGAATTTGCTACTTATGTGCGAGCAATTTATCGCAACACATAAGCATGTCATTGTAAAATTAGCGAATTCTTACTAAAAATACAGACTCGCTCGTTCACGATCATACTTAGCGCTGCACGACAACGCGAGACGCGTCCTGGAAATCACGTCAAACCCGAAAATTGCCGATGTTTGCCAAACGCGCGCGTCTTGTTGGCAGGTGACGTTTCTAGTTCCATATCTTAAATATGCGCACTTTCTCACGAAAAAACATAACGGAACTCCAGACAATTACGATACTGATGTTTATTTATCTAGTATTTACGGTTTTCCAATAGATATTGCGCCTACTCTTTAATCAATGTGTGGGTGAGGAAATTGTTACGGACGGATACAGCCGCTTAACAATGCTCAATGGCTCTTTGCTATGTACGTGGTGCGAATTTATTGGCACTCAGGTAGACAATTTGGTATTATTTACTGTATTTGGAAAACAATGGAGCCATTTAGAGAAATCCGGACACAAATTCCGAGCCGCATTATTATTATTATTATTATTATTATTATTATTATTATCATTATTATTATTATTATTATTATTATTATCATCATCATCATCATCATCATCATCATCATCATCATCATCATTATTATTCAATTTTTAATTCAGTGGCATGCAGTAGATGAGATTAGGTGGTACATATAACTGTAATGCATATTCGACATCAATATCATAATATCAGGAGTGAATAATAGAGATCTATAATAATCTCTATTATTCACTCCTGATAATATCTTATATAAATTTTCCACCATCTTCCTTTATTTCTAAGTGGATCGCATCACGTTATGCATAATTGCGGCTCTACATTTTGTCACATCACGAACATACGCAATGAAGAAAATATTTAAGGGGGAAAGGTTGGTGTGCACGTTATTGTTGTCTGCATGGCCGTCATTACTTCGGTACACGTAAAGAAAACCTCCAGTTCCGGTATGCCCGTACAGCCATTGTTGGCGCAGCTGATTTTCGCCCCTGAAAATTCAGATAATGAATGAAACAATAACAATAATGAAACAAGGCGGAGAAGCACATGGAATGGGAATTTTTGGTTAGAATTGTGAAACTTTGCACATGCGTACGACATGAGGTCCTGAAGATTTTCTGATATAGTGCCAATTTAACAGCGCCATCTGGTGGCGTACAGCACCCCTGGCGGTTTAACAGGTATTGCGTTATGCCACTCTTCGGGGTTTGGCTATAACATCTAAAATTCTTATCCAATTTAGTTAACAAATAGCCCTCATGACTCGCATGTATCTACATTATTATTATTAATAATAATAATAATAATAATAATAATAACATCGCAAGGACCTCTCCATCCTTAGCGAAATAAAAAAGGTGTCACAACAAAGCAAGTACATGCCAAAGCCAGGAGCATCTTATGCAAGAGCCGAAGGGAGAATAAGACCATATGCGAGCTCGAACAAGAAATTAAGATGAAACTACAGGCCAAAGCTCAGAGGTTGAGAAGGTTTACTAAGCGGAGTGAGCACTACTATCAGAATAAGCTCTTCCATGAAGATGCCAAAAAATTCTACCGGCATCTCAACGAGCAGCAAAGCACCATCAAGGAACCTCCCTCTCAAGAGTGACTCTATCAATTCTGGCGTGGAATACTAGAAGTTGGCACAGACCACAATACCAAAGCCACTTGGATCAAACAAGAGGAGGAAGCATTCCAGAATGTAGCAATGGATGTATGGACTGACATTACAATGTGTGAGGTACAGCAGGCCATCAAGCGGACCCACAACTGGAAGTCTTCTGGCCCAAACAAGCTGCACAACTTCTGGATTAAGCATTTAAGTGCCTTCCATAAACAACTAACCAGGGCCTTGAATGACACCATCAATGATCCAAGCAATAGCCCTAAGTGGTTGACATCAGGAATCCTTCTTTCAAAAGGCAAGGATACAAGAGAACCAAAGAACTAACGACCAATCACTTGCCTGCCTACCACCTACAAGATTCTCACTGCTGCAATTTCCAACCGCCTCTACAATCACTTACAGAAGAGCGGCATCCTCACAGATGAGCAGAAAGGCTGTAGAAGAGCGTCTAGAGGGTGCAAAGGCCAACTTCTCATCAGTAACATAATTGTGAGCATGGCAAAAAAGCTCAAGAGGAACCTAGGAATGGCGTGGATTGATTATAAGAAAACCTTCGACAGTGTCCCACATTTCTGGATTCTCGCAACCATGAAAATCTACCATGTGTCACCAACCATCATTCAGTTTATGGAAACTACAATGAAGAAATGGAAGACTGAAATGCTCCTCTTCACTCAAGGAGGCTGCCTCAGAACAGAAGATATCTCAATCAAGAGAGGAATCTTCCAGTGCGACTCGCTCTCTTGCCTGCTATTCTGCTTAGCACTAACACCGCTTACCAACATGCTGAATAGACAGGGCCTGGGATTTACAGTCGATAAACACAACACCATCAGCCACCTGCTCCACATGGATGACCTTAAACTGTTCGCCAAGAACCAATATGAGCAATATGAGTTCGATTTGGAAAAGTGTGCAACCGCAATCTTAAAAGGTGGTAAGCTAGTAAAAAATCGAAATATCGAGCTTGATGAGAAGACAGCCCTACAAAGTCTGAACCACGAGGACACCTTCAAATATCTTGGTGTAGACGAAAGTGATGGTATTCAGCATGCAAAGATGAAGGAGAACATTGCTAAGGAGTACTATTGCCGAATTCGCCTGTTCTCAAGTCTGAGCTCTGCTCAAAAAACAAGATAACAGCGATCAATAGCCTGGCACTCCCAGTTCCTATGTACATCTTCGAAGTGATTAACTGGTTGCAATCCGATATTGAAAGGATGGATCGCAAGACAAGAAAGCTACTAACCATGCACGGTCTCCACCACCAAAAAGCAGATGTAGAGCGACGGTACATTAAGAAGCAAAATGGTGGTCGTGGTTTCATTAAACTGATGTCTGCGTACAACACTGCCATTGTAGGTATAGGCAACTACATCGAGCTTAAGAAAGACAAATTTACAAAGCTTATCAAAATCCATCAGTCTGGAAAATCAAAGCACGCTCTCTTACGCGAGGCTAAAGAAATCAAAGCCAAATACTTGTCTCCTCAGTCCACCAGCCAATCCTCAACAAAGCAGAGACTGAAGGCCAATATGAAAGCAGAGAAGATTGAGGTATTGAAGGACAAGCCTTTGCATTAAAGATTCAACAAGAGCCTCGACAGGCCATTTGTCAACAAGACTGCAAGCGTTGCCTGGCTGAGTAGTTCCGGGCTCAAGGGGGAGACAGAAAGCCTGATCATTGCAGCCCAAGACCAAGCACTCAACACCAGATACCATCAACGCAACATCCTCAAGCAACCGATCAACAGCAAGTGCAGAATGTGCAGCAAGGCAGAGGAGACCATCAGCTATATCATCGCCGGATGCACAGTGCTGGCCCAACTGAGTACATAAATCGCCACAACAAGGTAGCCAGCTATCTGCACTGGCCAATCTGCAGTGAACTTGGTGAGCAAGTACCTGACAAGTGGTATGAACATACTCTGAGACCAGTTCCTAACATCGGAGATACTACCATAATGTGGGATATGGCAGTGCAGACAGATCGCACGATACCTGCAAACCGCCCTGATATAGTGCTCTACAACAGGAAAGAAAAACGATGCCTGTTGACTGACGTAGCCGTACCAGATGAATCTAACATCATGGTGAAAGAAAGAGACAAACTCACCATCTACAAAGATCTGGAGATCGAAGTTAGGAGGATGTGGAATACTAAGACGAGAATTGTACCAGTGGTGGTTGGAGCCCTTGGCTCTCTAACGAATGGTTTTGAGAAGAACCTTAAGGAACTCCCTGGCCATCACACTGCCCAAGAAGTGCAGAAAATCGCACTACTGGGAACAGCACACATCCTGCGAAAAATTAAGTGATTGAATCCCTATGTCCCAGGTTGGGACACGGTCAACCCAGAAGCCACCCGCTAATGCCGTGATCTACTTTGGAAATAATAATAATAATAATACTTATATATACGTAAATGCACACACGCATGCATGACGATATATATATAGCAATAAGGAATTGACGTATAGTAAAGGGATACTCCCCCAGTAGCTGGTAATTGTAGAGACGGCAATCGGTAATCTACATGCAGGTAATACATTTGGATGAAACCGAATGACGCTATCGGTGTTAACCGGGTGTAAAACACAGTATGATTTATGCGGCAGATTACCAGCTAGGATGGTAGTATTGGCAAGCATTGATAATTTTATGGATGGATGGATAGATAGATGGATTGATGGATGGATGGATGGATGGCTGGATGGATGGATCGAAGGATGGATCGATAAATAGACGGACGAACGGATGGACGAACGGACGGACGGACAGACGGCCGGACGGACGGATGGACGGGCGGGCGGTCGGGCGAACGGACGGACGGGCGGACGGACGGATAAATGGATAGATGGAGGAATGGGTGGAGGAATAGATGGATGGATGGATGGATGGATGGATGGATGGATGGATAGATGGATGGATGGATGGATGGATGGATAAATGCATGCATGGATTAATGGATATATGGATGGATAAACGAGTAAGTAACGTAGCAGACGGCTGACGGTATGCAGGAAACTACGATAATGAAGGTAGGAACCACAAAGCGTACGCTGGATGTGAATAGAACAGAATGATATATAGTGTCTTACCACAATTGGAATTTTGCGTGCATCTACACTCGAACGTCCCAGTGGTGCCAACTCTGAAGCAATTCTGATTACTCACATCCCCTCGTTTACAGTTGGGTAGGCGCTCTCCCGCATTGGGGAATCCAGCTGGGATCACAGCCTGGTTACACAGATCATTACCTGGTGCTAAAACAAAAGGTAAAGCGATATTTTATAGTGAACCGATTTACAGCTACAACGTCTCCAGCGTGGGTACTTGCACCGTCACGTACAAGCAGATGAAAGGATTTTGATATATTGGCAAATTTAGTTTCATAGATAGTCAATAAAACATTTTATCTGAGATATTTATGCTGAAATCAAATTTAGTACATTGTTATGTCATTAATAAGTGATAGTGACTATACGCATGCACATTATGTATACTCTCATGCATGCATATACTCACACATGATTTATACATGTGCATCATATATATATATATATATATATATATATATATATATATATATATATCAGGAGTAGATAATAGGGAATTTCCTATTATCTACTTCTAATATTTATGCATGCTATACGTGATAAATACTTTTCTTACAGCGTGATTTTACGTTTTTCTGTAATTTTTCCAGTAGATGAGTCACCCGTCAGAACCCCTTGAAATAGGTGGGGACACTCATTCGCATATCCCACCCATATCTGACAATACATGTATGAAGTGATTACACATGAAGACCGAAAAGTCCAGCGTAGAAATACTCGAGGCGAACGGTACCATGTTTAATACAGCAAAGGAAAAGGCAAATGCACTTAACAGACAATTCGAATCTGTATTCACAAAAGATTCGAAAGAACTCCAAGATACACAGTCATACTACCCTTCTATATGGATGACATTGAAATTACAGACAATGGAATCTACAAACTTATCAAACTTATCAAACTTATCAAAGTTCACAAAGCACCTGGCCCAGATAACATCAACTCTGTAATATTGAAGACATCACCAACAATAAGCAGAATCTTAGGGATCATCTTCAGGAAATCATATCAGACAGGAGTTATACCATCAGTTTTGAAGAAAGCCAATGTCCCATCTATAAGAAAGGAAATAAGAATGATCCAGGTAACTATACCGTCCCATATCACTGACTTGTATCACCTGCAAACTCATGGAACATATATATATATCATCTGCACCAACATCATGAAGCACGGGAAGTCTAATGCTATTATACACTTCTACAATCTATTCGACAAACAGCGAGGTTTCAGAGATGAACGGTCATGCGAAACTCAACTTGTTGAGTTTGTCACTGAAGTCACCAACAATATGCATGCAGGAAAGCAGATGGACGTCATATTTTAGACTTCAGCAAGGCATTTTTGTGGGCCATCATGATGGATAAGGTAAGCCATCAGAAGCTACTCCACAAGCTAAAGAGTTACGGCATCGATGGACGACTAATAAATGGATCAGGGGCTTTCTAGAAGACAGAACGCAAGTTGTCGTACTGGATGGAGAAGTAACATATGTAGCAAATGTTACATCAGGAGTCCCACAAGGATCAGTTCTTGAATCGAGCCTTTTTACTTGTATTACATAAATGATCTTCCAGACAACATAACATCTAATGTGAGGCTATTTGATGAGGACACCCTGTTATATAGAACCATCACCTCTGATCGAGATGTACAGACACGATGTCCTTCAATCCACAGAAGTGTGAAATCATTAACATCAGCAGACTGAAGAAGACCCGAATATCACCTTGCACTCTTCATGGAATTGAGCTCAACAATGTGAAAAATTAAAATCAAATATCTAGGCCTAACAATAACATCAATACTTCACATAATACAACGTAGATGCGACAACAACTAACGCGATGAGAAGTCTCAACTTTCTGAAGAGAAATCTCCAGATCAACTCTCTTCGCATTAGGTTTGCTACGCCCCTGATGATAAATTATGTACAATGCCTATCAGGGAATTTGTAATTTCGTAAAGACTATGGGTGAATACAGTCACTTATAGGTCGTATAATTTACGTACCTGTACAGACTCCGCTAACCTCAGTGAATATGGGATGACATGCACATGCAATACCATCCGGACAGTATGAGTTCGGATCCATAGCCATGCACGATGCGTCTGTGCACCCAACAACACACATGAGATTATCGTCGCATATTTCTCCGGCGGCACAGTCTGTGTCTATGATGCACTCGACGCAGACTTTGTTCACACATCTAGGAAGCCCAACGACGTTGACGCAGTGCGAATCCATGTTACACTGCTCACATGTTCCGCTAGTGCAGGCCGGCAAGTTCGTATTAATCGCCGTACATTCTGCATCATTTTGACACGCAACACACACACCGTTGCAGCATACTGGTGTTGCTGCAGTCGTGCTGCAGTGCGTGTTAGTTGCACATGCGACACACATGCCATTAGCACACGCAGGTAAATTAGAGGGACAATCGCTGTCATCTTGACACGCGACACACACACCGTTGCAGCATGCTGGTGTTAGCGGTGTATCCATGCAGTGCGTGTTAGTTGCACATGCGACACACGTGCCACCAACACACGCAGGTAAATTAGAGGGACAATCCACATCATCTTGACACGCGACACACACACCGTTGCAGCATGCTGGTGTTAGCGGTGTATCCATGCAGTGCGTGTTAGTTGCACATGCGACACACGTGCCACCAACACACGCAGGTAAATTAGAGGGACAATCCACATCATCTTGACACGCGACACACACACCGTTGCAGCATGCTGGTGTTAGCGGTGTATCCATGCAGTGCGTGTTAGTTGCACATGCGACACACGTGCCATCAACACACGCAGGTAAATTAGAGGGACAATCCACATCATCTTGACACGCGACACACACACCGTTGCAGCATGCTGGTGTTAGCGGTGTATCCATGCAGTGCGTGTTAGTTGCACATGCGACACACGTGCCATCAACACACGCAGGTAAATTAGAGGGACAATCCACATCATCTTGACACGCGACACACACACCGTTGCAGCATGCTGGTGTTAGCGGTGTATTAATGCAGTGCATGTTAGTTGCACATGCGACACACGTGCCATCAACACACGCAGGTAAATTAGAGGGACAATCCACATCATCTTGACACGCGACACACACACCGTTGCAGCATGCAGGTGGTAGCGGTGTATTAATGCAGTGCGTGTTAGTTGCACATGCGAACAGCACGTGCCCCATCAGCACGACGCACGAGTAAATAGGAATCGTACATGTTCGTCATCATTGAAATCGCGACACAAATACCATTGCCAGCATACTGCTGCAGCGTGCGTCCACAATCTGCGTCATGTAAGACCACGGCCAGCACAAGCATTCGAGTGACACGGTTTGACAACCGCAAATGATCTCCGCACATGTGTCCTCACATACAGTGCAGAGTCTCGCGCGACCACCATGTAACTGAAATAACAATTACCACAGATATCATGGCTGTGTATGATCACTTGTTTACGGCCCATTTTGGCAATGGCGAAAGCAACATTTAGTTTCACAGGGAATCCCTAAAGCGCCATGTCTAACTTGAAAACTTTATTTATATCCTGCTAGATCGCTGGCAAATAACAGAGTTAGCTATGGTAACCTCTTTATACAACGTAGGGCGTACGGAATAGTTTGCAATTAACATTTGAACTTTATTGATGAATATTTATGTCGCCATCATGATTCCTCTGCTTTTTAACTCGATCGTATCTTCCTCATCCTTCAATAATAGGATTTGATAACCGTAATAATGATTATGCAGAAGATTGAATCTCCGTAAACTGTTTTAATCCGGATATGCGTGCATTGTGGCAGAAAGCCCTTGTACGTTCAGCCCTAGCAAATTGTTCACTTACCCGACCTAACATTCTAATTGCGTAAGCGGCAATGCCGGTTGTCCGTATTATCATAAAGTATGTCACTGATGGTAGCCAATCTTCTGACCTCGGTATCCTGTTATGCAAACCACACTTTCCGTTGTCCATTAACGACCGGCTTGGCATTGTGCACCATTTCTCCGCCAAGCACAGTAATCGTAGCCAGCAGCTCCATCAATGGGCGACATCTTTTTTAAGTTTAAACGTTTAATTAAGAGTCAATCATAACTCGATACAATCATTACTTCGCTTAACGCCTCCCCCTCCCGACAACGTTTTTTGTATAAGCGTTTCGGACTGTTTAGCGTCCCTTCGTTCCTTTCATTACTTGATATATAAGTATTATCACTATTAAAATTATTAGTATAAATCAGCAGTAATTATTTCTCCAATTTTTCTATTAGTAATAAGCATCTCATCTACAAAGCCTGCATACTGTAATTTTTACTACCAATATATCACGGTATAATTTTGTCGTGGCGTCCATCTTCATGCCGTTAATGAACAGCTAGCTCAGATGTGTAAATACCGCGAGCAAAACATAGTTTAAGAAAGACATACGTATATGCCTATTTTCTATTTTTCCTAGTACACGCCCGTCGGGCTAAAGTCGTGGACCATGGACCCAGCAGTTAGTAGAGCCAACCAATTACAGGCCAGTTTCGCGTATAGGATCTCACTCGTTGACGATAAACAAGAGTAGGCAGGCCGTCTCCAGTTTGGGTATAAGAGCATCTCTTGCTTGGCCAGCGAGAGCGGCAAGACAGATAACAGTACAGAGCAGCTTTCGCATTCGATAGATAACTTACGATAGCTACAGACTGCACAGTCTTTAGATAACCCGCGCACACAGCTTAAAACCTCGTAAGTTAATGACCGTAATTGCCCTATCTACCGCGTAAACCTGGTGCTACGCATTTGCCCTGCCATGGGCATTATACGTAGTTTAAACGGTGCATGATTAAAGCGATAAACTAGAATACGTATGACCATTTGCTGCTTATGTTCTTTACAAATATATGCTGATAGACTTAGCAAATGTGTTGGATATACACTCACGCGTAACCACTAACACCGATCACGTTCGCAAGCAGCTTCGCTACAGATGCAAACCCCTCGGTGGGGGCGAGAAGTAGGAAGAGAGACTCTCCACCGGCCGCCTCTCATTGACATAATTGTCACGCTCCCCACTCTCTACCACCGACCATTCACTCGTTTCACTGCTCCCATCAGTGAGGAAAACACAAAATAGCTAGAATATCTCTTAATGACGGATTAATTTTGTCTCATCAGTTTTGTTCTCTGATCCCGGTGCTGTATGTTATAATAGGCGTTTTCTACAAATAAGAGATCAATGGTGAATTTATATGCTGTATTTTGTAAACGTTAGGCAAATGGAAGGTAAGAAGCTAACTCGTCGTCTTTTCTCTATTCATGTGAGTGGGGGGAAATTGATTCCGATTGGGAACATTGCTTCCCTTAACGGCTGTGGTTTACCGGTAACGTAACGACGATGATGAGCGTGCAGACTGTGCTTGACATTGTTCACTGAGAATCAGTATAACCGGCAGGCCCAAATTACACGGCGTGGCTACAGGGACTTGATTCAGAGTACACGATTACGATCGCATTACTGGCCCAGAAAATTCTTCGAGCTTAAGAACCGTGCTACATTCGGGATGCCCGCTTTCTGGTGTGCCTGTCGTCAAACACAGACAAATCCAATATTAACATACCGCGTATCTTTAATTATAATTATGAAACGCATCAGGTTTCGTTATTCTAACGTGATCTAGTGCGCTGTATTTTGCGTTGTCTAATGCCCCGTATCCGCCCGACACGTAATTTTACTTGATGTGTTTTAAGTCAGCAAACGGTCAAGGCGATGCTTACTACTGGAGGTGATCCGCGGATCGGTAGGATGACATCCACTTTCGAGAGTCGGACACGTTGGGGAGTAGCATTAAAAAGCTTGTGTGAAGTATCCGGGTGCCCACACTCGGCATAACGAAACAGAATCCCACACGTCTGATGTACGCATTGGTACTTTCCATAGGACATCAGCCTGCCCAGTGGAGCCAAGAGTGTGGCATGGAAGCCAACATAATCTGCAGAGAAGCAGCATTGCGTGTGCAGGAGGCAGCATGCGTGTGTAAGCAGGCAGCAAGGTGCTGCAGGGAGGCATCATGCGCGGCGGGGGTGTGGCATGGGAGGGCGGGGCCGATGGCGGGTGGTGCAGGCGTGCAGCAGATGTGGCAGGGAGGGCAGCGATGTGTGTAATCAGGCCAAGAATGTTGGCATGCTGGAAGGGACCACCCGGTGAAAGCGCAGCGCCAGCCATGTGTGTAAGCAGGCAGCTGTGTGTGCAGGGAGGCAGCATGTGGTGTACAAGGAGGCAGTAGCTGTCGGTCTGTGTGCAGGGAGCCAGCATGTGTGACGTGCAGGGAGGCAAGCCATGGTGCAGGGAGGCAGCTGTGGGCTGTGAAGGGAGGCAGCATGTGTGTGAAAAGGATGGCAGCATGCGGTGGCAGGGAGGCAGCATGTGTGCAGGGAGGCAGCATGTGTGCAGCGGATGCAGCATGGGTGTGTAGGGAGCAGCATGTGTGTGCAGGAAGTCGGCAGTGTGGGCAGGAGGGCAACATGTGTGGGTTAGGAGCAGGATGGCCTGTGGCAGGGATGGCAGCATGCTGTGTGCACGGAGGCAAGCATGCTGGTGTAGGGCAGCAAGCATGTAGTGTGCAGGAGCAGCATGGTAGCAGGGAGGCAGCCATGTGTGTGTAGCCGGAGGGCAGCATTGTGTGTGCGATGTGAGGCCCCAGCATGGCGTACGTGCAGGGAGCCCGGCACGCATGTGTGCAGGGAGGCCAGCATGTGGTGCACGGGATGAGCACATGTATGTGCAGGGAGGCAGCATGGAGTGTGCAGCGGAGCAGCAGGTGCTGTGTGTGCAGGGATGGGCGAGCATGTTGTAAGCAGCGCAGCCGGATGAGTGCTGCAGGGAGGCCAGCTATGAGTGTGCCAGGAGGCAGCATGTGGGTGTTGCAGGAGGCAGCCATGGGGGGTGTGTTAGGCTCCAGCGTCAGCATGGTGTGTAGGAGGCCCGCAGCATTTGGGTTGCAGGGAGGCAGCATGTATGGGCAGGGACGGCCGAGACATGATGTGTGCAGGGCAGCCAGCATGTGTGTGCAGGGAGGCCAGTGTGTGTAAGCACGGCAGCCATGCAGTGTCAGGGCATGGCCAGCATTGAGGTGCAGGGAGGCAGCATGAATTCATGTGTGCCAGCGATGGCCCAGCATGTGTTGTAAGCAGGCAGCCATGGCAGTGGGTAGCGGCAGGCCACATGCGGGTTGCAGGGAGGCAGAATGTGGTGTAGGAAGGCAGCATGTGTGTAGGGAAGCATCATGAGTGTGCAGATATAGCCAGTAATTGTGTTAGGGTGGCAACGAGGAGCGAGTAAGAACATGATGGCAGGAGAATGCAGGCGGCGAGAAGTATAAGCCTGCGCCCTAGACAATGACGTGAAATTAGAAACCATTACAAACTGCCTCATACAGACGTTGTGTGAAGCAATGCCACTAAAGTGAATATGTATCCCGTCCGCGGAATTCCGGGAAATTAGTTCAGAGAAAACATGTTATCGCAGGAAATTAATTCCACACGAAATGTCTCACAGAAAACTGCCATTAGGAAAACTAAGCACAGAAGATTGTTATAACATAAAAATTGACCACACGAAGAGTAGTCACACAATAGTAAACCTTCTCAAGAGTAGAGCTCGGTAAATTCCCCGGTAACGAGAATGAGAAGGTGCAGAGGAGGGCTACGCGATCACGTAGCAATGAGAAAATGAGAAAGATGCGGTAATCTGGGTGGAGCGACAGCCATAATTAGAGAAGAGCTCGGCAAATGGAAGAACGCGTAGTGGAGAAGGCATTGATTAGAGGGAATGTACTGGAAGGAGAAGGCAGGCAAAGAAGGGAGGACAGCAGCGCAGAATATCGAGGTTTGCTTATGTATAACAATTTTTCCTTTACCCAAAATTCCGCATCACGGAGTCTGCCCTGCTAACATAGTTTGTGACAAAATTTTCTACATCCCATCTTGCCCCACACCACGTGCGCCTAAGTCAATTCATCAAACATTTCGTATCTCTTTAGCTACCAACCCCATAATCTATTTTGTGTCAACCTTTTCATCCCGCAAAACCATAAACGGCATAAAGAAAGGTCTGCTTGAGCTTTCCGTGGCACCAAACACGCTGGCCATGCGCGCACTTCGAATCTGCGCTGGCAACGTATATGTGGCCCAGATAAGGGCCACCAAAAAGGCGCAGACGAAACCTCGATTGTCAGGCAAGCATGGCCATGACAGTGCGTGATGCTCACAGCATGCGCGTTATACGTGAAACACCCTTGTAGTCTTGATTGACAAGACGGGCCAACAAACGATCAATGAAGTTCAATACATGATGCATTCAGCGCAATATGTGGACTACATAAATTCGTTTTCTGCTCTATTTAGCTCAACTGGGAACGCTTCTGCACAACACGCAGACATGTAATTCAATCACCATTCCTAATCTCATCAATTCCTAACAACGATCGGCCTACGGACCAAGCTGGCATTCACAATAGCGATTCAAGTCTCTCTGTCACGTCGCCTCGGCTCTGCTTCCTCTTTCTCCTGCGCGTGCTCGTTCCTGCTCTTCTGCTGCCCCCCACCCCGCCGTATACCCCCGCTATAACCCCCCGTGTGATGGCCGCTAGCCCTGCCCCTCCGCCAGCGCCTACCCCGCCATTATAATATATTATACTAGCCCTATAGCTACGTAACTACCCTAACAATATTTATAGTCAGTATGATATATTGATGCTCTCTCTCCTCCCTCTCTAGTAGTTGCCTAGCCCGGCGGTAATACGTGAGAGAGTAGTATTAGTATCTATTAGTCTATCTGATCACTCCAGTATGCTACCACGCAGTATCCATGGTATTGCCTTTTTTCCTATATGAAGGTATATTAGCCATTAAAGCTCTGGTCGGAGGGACTTCCGTAAGGCATGGTGTCCTTGTTCGTACGGCTAGCGTGACCTTTCCGCTTACTCCGAGAAGCTGGTAAGAGACAGGATAAGCCGTGCTAATGCATAGTCGGGCATGTTGTATTGTACTGAAACTGACGTAAACATAGGTAAGGTAGGGGTGGATAGTAGGAATAGGACAATAGCTTTTCGTTATGTAAGCAGTTACGCGCACGCATTAGCCAGTATGATGCTGCGTTATGCTATACAGCTTACAAGAACTAACCAAACATTACTGTAACGCCCGCTATGCATGTATATTAGCTTCGTCGTGGATGAATTTAGTTAGCTAGTGGATTATAAGCCCGAGTCGGTGGTCTTGCGCCGACGCGCGTAGGAGAACGGGGCGCGGCGGTGGGCTAACGAGGTGGTATGCAGATTAATCCTAGGTAACTAACAATACACTTTTCAACAATACACTGTGTATTTGTAGTAGATACCTGACAACTGTGATTTAAATTCAATTGACATTTTTCAATAGAATCTCAATCAATATCATAAAATAATTTCAATAAATTTATTCTAAATATGAATGTCCCAATTTCAAGCTGTTACAAAAAGATCAAAAAGTTATAACTTAATTAAAAAATAAAAAATAAAAATAAAAAGCTGTATTGTTAGAATGTGGTCAACAATTAAACAGGTGTGTATGTTGAAACCGCTCACTAGTGGTAGCCTTACTACAATACACAGTGTCACTGTTAGAAGCTGTTCAGACCAACACTCATCAGTGTTATTGTGAAGACTCCGCTAACAATACACAGTGTATTGTCAAATGCCTAAACATACAACACACTGTGTATTGTTAGTTACCAGGATTATCTGCGTTATCAGTTGGTTGGCAGACGTGAATTTGTACGCACTCAGTACTAAGAATGGATGAATACAAGTTGCGAGGACGTGGCAATATGAAGAAGGAATTGAAAGTGCTGCGTTTCCTGAAAGACGAGGCAGTTGCCCGCGAAGAGATGAAGTGCGGATCTCCGCATCTGCGGGGCTGTGTGCTCGTGTCGTTCTCTTTGTTTGTGTGTTAGTTTGAAGTTCGTGTATCGTTGTCGTTAGATTTAATCGTATATTTTCATCTCCACGGATATTGCGACATTACAACCTGGATATGCTCATCTATTATAGAGCCCTCAATGGAGAGGGATGCAGCTAGTATATATCTAATACGTATTTGTGAATGTATGTCTGTTTGTTTGTCTGTTCTCGATGCAAATCAATATGGAGCACTCTAGAAATGTCCAAGGACTTTCAGTAGGGGTACATTTTGATGCTGAATGTCATGGGCACATTGGATTTGACCTCTGATGTCATCTAAGCAAAAAAAATACGAAACAACGAAAAAAATAAACGGGCCCCTGCAGCAGCATTAAATATACGGGCCCCTGCAACAACAGGATTCAAGTCAAAACAGTCCAAACAGGATTCAGCTTGTACTGACTTGCTTTACTGCAACCAAAGATACTGTAGATAAGTAAATAAATAAATAAATAAATAAATAGATAGATAGTTAGATAGATAGATAGATAGATAGATAGATAGATAATATATTTGTGTGTATTTTTCTTTCAACCAAGTGGTCACCAACTGAGCGCTTTATTTCCCGGGCAACCCCGGGTATCCTGCTAGTATTATATATATCTATATATATATCTGCGATCTCTGTCCGTCCGTCTGTCTGTCTGTCTGTCTGTGGAGTGGACAAGCATATTGGGTATATGGATATTTTGTTAGTGCCTTAACTCTTCTATGCAATCTGACTGTGCCAGGTTAGGAATGAATTCACAATAACACAGACATTTCGGATTTTCGATTTTTTGGATTTTCCATTTTTTGGCTTTTTATTTTATTTATATGCAAATCATGTCTGTCTTATTCTCAATTCATTCCTAACCTGGCACAGTCACATTGCATACAACAGTTCAATCACGATGGGCATATATATGGGCATCAAGAGCTAATAATACCTTATGTATTAATAATGTATTATTAGCTCTTGATGGGCATATATATGGGCATAGAGCGCAGGGTCCACAGAGAGAGGGAGGGAGGGAGGGAGAGAGATCGCAGATATATATCCAAAATCCAAAAAAAAAAAAAAAAATCAAAAAAATCAAAAAACCCAAAAAATCAAAAAAAAACCAAACAAATCCACAAAATCAAAAAAAAAATCAAAAAAATCAAAAAACCACAAAAATAAAAACAAAAACAAAAAATCCACAAAATCCAAGAAAAATCCAAAAACAAAAAAAATTAAACAATCAAAAAAATCCAAAAAATCCAAGTCAAATTCAACTAAAAATCAATTCCCCCATCATGGCCCTTCATCGTGGGCCCTTCATGGCTGCCACAGAGTGGCTGTTGGCCTCTAGTATATATATATGGCGCGCGCGTGTGTGTATGCAGTACGTGTTTCCAGGTTTTGCGTCTATTAAATTAGTACAATTTTATTCAAGATGGATAGTGAAAAATCGTACGGGAATTTACATACCGGTTTTTGGCATCTGTCACTTGATGTTGCAAAATAATCGCCTACAAAATATAACAAATATGCGATGTTACTGTGTGGATCTTGCCAGGTAACGTTGGCCTGGTATAATTGCCAACCCACGGCATATAACGTACGTCACATCCCGTAAAGTATTGATCAATCAACTTATCTAAAGATTCGCTGTATTGATCCAGTGATCCCAAAACGAGTGCGAGTAGACACTCATGCCTATAGGATTGGGATCAGCGACCAAGACTGAATCGGTGTGATGCAATTTATTGGTACTAATTCGACATGGTCCCTGCAGTGTTATTTTGATAATACAGACATGTGAAATCTCGCCACGGGTATATATACATTGCCTCCTGGTAGATTTGCTCGATCAATAGGTTTGCCATTATTTCCTGTTTCACTACAAACGTCTTTAAAAATACATTTTTTGCCGTAGGAGTAAAGCGGAGTGCGTATTGCCACCGCTACGAGTAATACAAATTATGATTACATGTAATACGTACCATGGCCACGAATAATGTCGTAAGTACGTCGGCCATCTTTAATTCTGAAATAAAGATGATTTCACGTTAAAATTGTGCTTATATGTTGTAATGAATGAATCAAATATCTTACAATCCATGAGTCCCGTAACGGCATTACTCGACTTCATGCAAGCACTCACAGGCTCTTGGATGTTAGTTGCACATGCGACACACGTGCCATCAACACACGCAGGTAAATTAGAGGGACAATTGCCGTCATTTTGACACGCGACACACACACCGTTGCAGCATACTGGTGCAGCTGCGTCCGTACAATCTGCGTCGAGTAAACACGTGCCAGCACAAGCATTCGAGTGACACGTTTGGCCAACCGGGCAAGTGATCTCCGCACATGTGTCCTCACAGGTTGCAACTGAAATATCAATTACCACAGATTATATGGCTGTGTATGATCACTGTTTACGGCCATTTTGGCAATGGCGTAACAACATTTATTTCACAGAGGAATCCCTAAAGCGCATGTTTAACTGAAAACTTTATTATATGTGCTAGATCGCTGGCAAATAACCAGGTTAGCTATGGTAACCTCTTTACAATCGTAGGCGTACGTAATAGTTTGCAATTACATTTGAACTTTATTGTATGAATATTTATGTGCATCATTCTTGCTCGGCTTTTTAATCGATCGATTCTTCCTCATCGTTCAATAATAGGATTGATAACCGTAATAATAATTCCTGAGGAGGATTGGATCTCCGTGAAACTGTTTTAATCCGGATGTGTGCATGTGTGCAGAACCCTTGTACGTTGCAGCTAGAAATTGTTCACTTACCCGGCCTACATTCTAATTGGTAAGCGGCATGACGTTGTCCGTATTTATCGTGAGTACGTCTGTGGTATGGCAATCTTCTGACTTCGTATCCTGTTATGCAACCACACTTCCGTTGTCCATAACCGACGTCTTGGCATTGTGCACCATCTCCGCCAAGACATTGTATCGTATCCAGGCAGCTCCCTCCAATGGGGACATCTTTTTTAAGTTTAAACGTTTCGATTAATTAAGAGTCAATCTAACTCGATACAATCACGTAATATATCACGTATAATTTGGTGGCGGTCTATTTCATGTTTACTAAACAGTAGCTCAGATGCAACCCTCGTCAGAGTAGGAAGGAGACTCCTCCACCGGGTCTCATTGACATAATTGTCACCCTCCCCACTCTCTACCACCGACCATTCACTCGTTTCACCGCTTCCCATAAGTGGGTAAAACACAAAATAGCTATACTATCTCTTAATTACGGATTAAGTTTGTTTCTTCGTTTATGTATATTAGACGTTTTCTACAAGAGATCAAGTAAATTTATATGCTGTATATGTAATCGTTAGGCAAATGAAGGTTAAGAAGCTAACTCGCGTCTTTTTTTCTATTTCATGTGGGGGGGGGGGAATTGATTCCGATTGGGAACGTTGCTTCCCTTAACGCTGTGGTTTACCGTAACGTAACGACGATGATGAGCGTGAGACTGTGCTTGACATGTTCACTGAGATCAGTACCGCAGGCAAATTACACGCGTGGCTACAGGGACTTGATTCAAGTACACGGTTAGATCGCATTACCTGGCAGAAAATTCTTCGAGTTGAAGAAACGTGCACATTCGGATGCCGCTTTCTGGTTGCTGTCGTAAAAAACACAGACAAATCCAATATTAACATACCCGCGTATCGTTAATTAGTAATTATGAACGCATATGGTTTTTCGTT